GAAGCAGAGCTCTAAATATTGTTTGAAACTTGCAAGCTATTGTAGAATTTTCGGGAAGTCTAATTTATAGTGGAGGCTTTGTCGAAAATTTCTACAAATAGCTTTATATTTTGAATTACAACATGAGTGTTTTGTCCAATTAGATGCTTTTATTTATGATTGCCTTAAAAATGTTGGTTAAACAATTTTCTATATATTTAGGTTTAGGAATATGAGGTCTCTCATATTCTGCACTGGTCACCTTCAAAGTTGGGGGTAACACTTCATTGTTGTTCCATGGCTGAACCAAATTAGAGTTTTGTTGGAGCTGTGGTGATGGTTAGGTGTAGCTAAATTCTTCAATTCTCTAGAGCAGTATTTATGGCTTGAACTTGGAGCTTCAAAGGGAACTTTCAACTCTTCCAATCTTTACTTCTTTCATTGGATTTGTGATTCCTAGGTCCTAGGATGAATTTTAGAATGTTTGGATGTGCTATGATGATTTATATTTGTATTAAGATTGGTTGTAGTTGTTAGAATCTTTGATTAGCATTTGACATTATGCTATGATTAATTTTAATTTCTTTACATTGTACTTGGTCAAACTATGTTTTAAAATTATTGTGAATATTCAGTGGTTAATTCAAGGTGGCTTGGTTATTGGACTAAAAATGTTAATTGCCTTTCTTTGATTCCCTTTAACTAATTATGCTAAAACAGTTTAATGATGAGTAATTAATATGTAAGGTGGCTTGGTGTTAATTATTCTAATTAAACCAAGTCTCTAATGGGTAGCCCTTGGAATCTTTTGAATTTAGCTAACTTCCACATTAATTGAAGTAATGATAGCCTAAATTATTGTGCTAGGGGATTGTCATTCTTTTGTTATCACTTGTTAATTCTCTTTGTTTATTTCATCTATATTCTTTTTATAAACTAAAAATCCAAAATTTATTTACTCATAGTGCATCCTTTTAAGTTTTGCCAATTGGTTAGTTAAAAAGAAAATTAATCCTTTTCTAAGTCAATTTTGTATCTTTTGCATACTTAGTTACTTAGGATCTTCTTAGAAGCTCCTTAAAGTGAATACAACCCGCATTATGCACTGGATTATATTAATACGGTTAATTTTGAAGTGGACCTAAGACGACTAACAGTTCGTTCTTCAACCTCTCCTAACAAGCACGCTTTTAGTTTGTTTTTCTTAATGTCTTTACTTAACTATTTAAAAACATGCCTATTTTATTATTTATTTCTTGCGGGCCAATAATAGAGGTAGTCAATATAAACAAAACATGATTACGTTCCATGTGTTAATCTTGTCTATATAGTATATAAGCACAAGAACAAATAAATAATGAAGTCAATTTTCCTTGGGGTTGATTAATTAGCTTATTATTTAAGGCTTGTGAACTCAATTTACCCGTCATATATAGAAGCTAGTGGATGTGTTTATTTTGGAAATTATTGTGTGGAAAGCTAGAGGTGTATTATGGCATTATTTGTGGTAACTGAACATCTATATTGGAAAATGTGCATTATTCTAAAGGGCCCGTTGTGGACGTTGCCTCTGGGAAAAATGAAAACACAGGTGACGCAGGGATTAGGGAGTTGAGGATGAGAGTTCAAGAACAGTCACAACGTGATGATGAGTCTTTTTGAAGTAGCTTAAGCTACTTTGATGTAAGTGAAAAGTATTAATCGATTGACTGAACTATGAAATTAGTAATGAGTCCGCAAATAAAGCAAATAAGAGATATAAAGTGAGAGAAACGCAGTAAAAACTTGATTATCCCATTCTATGGATATATGTGTGTATATAAGTGAACTTGATGCCATATCTTAATCTAAAATCTGAAGTTTATATCTCATTTATAGATATATATATATATATAAAATAAATCGAACTTTATTCGATGTGAAAGTTCTTATATTAAGTAAAGTAAGCACTTGGCATCCGAACAATATTTTCTTGAAGTTTTGAGTCCATTACTGACAATATTGACAATATAAACGAACTTACTCATACTGAAAATGTCACAAACACCAACACTTTACAATATGTGAATCTTTAGGCTAATATAGACCGTATTCATGCTTGAAAGCCTAGGGTTGTCAAAAGCCATAAAAAGGAAGGGGGAAAAAAAGAAAACCGAAAAATAAGAAGCATAGATTAAATTTGAAACCACTCGTATTTTATTATACATTTTCTTTTGTTGCATGACAAGAATAATACAAATGTCTATAAATATTAGCTCCCAAGTGTTAAAAGACTTAAACTTTCTACATACATATATAGGTACACAAGAACAAAGATTCGAAGTCGTTCCCTGTATTAAGGGTCGATGATGATGCCTTTTGTCGTCAAAGCACTCAATTAAACTAGGTCCTAATTAATTTGTAGTTTAGGATCGACCTAGGTCATTACTTCCAAGGAGCAAGTTGTGGATTTCTTTAGGTAAAAATTCAGATGATAAAAAAAATGCAATAAATTGGACCTAAACTAAAATGCAAAATTCTAATCCTAAATGGAAAATGCAAATGTCATAAAATCTATATAAAAATTAAATTAAACTAAATAAATGCAATGCAATTTTTGGGGGGGTTTTTTTTGAAGGAAAATAAAAATAATGAATAAAGAAAATTAATCAAAAAGCAAAGAAAATTAAGAAGTGAAAATTGAGAAGTTCTCTTCAGGTAAGGTAAAGGGGACAACTTAGGATTTGCATGGATTTAACCTTCATAACCTTAATCAGTTAATTAGACCAAAGGGAAGTGATAAGAGAGTGGAATTAATAAACTTAATTACCTACTTGAAATAAAAGGAACCCTTAATCTCAAAAACCCTTAAACCATTAGAGAACTCATAACAGTATAAGGTTGGTCAATTAAGCTTATTAAAACCAATGAAGATAATTCAATTTAATTTTGAAAATTATGTTTGAAATTATCAAATTAAACAATCAGATAATCAACCAACTTAATTAAACAATTAAGAGGTGAAAGAACCCAAATTTTGCAATTCAAACCACATTGATAATTAAACTCATAATGAAAACTCAATTATAAATTCAATTAACAATGCAAAGGTTCTAACATAAATTCCAACAAGTATCTTGGCACAAATAAGATCCAAATATCAATTTAATCCAAGAATAAAATTGACAATCTAGAACTAAATTGTCTCAACAAAAATACAACTTGAACTCATTTAAAACTAAACAATTTCAAGTCCTTGAATTAAAAAGATAAATGAAACATCACTCCCTTGTGGTCTTCAAGTGCTAGCTCAAGACTCAAGTCTCCTCCATGCTCCTCCCAAGTTGCCTCCTTAACAAGCTTATGCTGCCATCAAATTGCCTTCTCCTCCAAGCTTAATGACGTGGAGAACGGCCATGTTGGTGAGGAAATTGAAGAACAGTGGCGTGCGTCCTTGGCGTGGTAGTGGAGAGAGGTATTCAAGATACTGAATTCCCAATGATTTGAGGGTGTATCATAGGCTATTCAAAGGCGGTGGGTGAATGGTATCCGTGCGTCAATCAATGGACAATGGAAAAGAGGTCTCCTTAGGCGTGAATTCCTTGCTCTCAAATAAGGAAAATATTTTAATGGGAGAAAAGGAAATTTTTGTGGATCCAAAGCTCAAGCCCATTAGTAATTAATTGATCCACTTGATATTAGCCATTCGATTGTGCTTAAATCCCAAGAAACAATCTTGCACCATTGGATTTTCTATATGCTCTTTCTTGACCTACAAGAATTTAAGTGTATCCATTAATGTAGATTATATTTAAATATAATCAAAAATTAAATATTAAATCTGCACAAAAATTAGGCAAGAAATTGCAAAACTTTCTAAAAATAATCTTTCTAAAAATATGAGACTTGTTTTCAAAGAAATAGGAAAAATTAATTCCAAGTCAAAAATAGGAAAGCACAAAATATTTATATTTTTAATCCAAAATCTCAATTTTTATGCAAAATCCAAAAATCAACCAATTAATTCAATAATACATAAAAAGTTCATTTAAGCTTAAAATTATCATTTAAATCCTAAATTAATGTGGGATAAAATATATAAAAATTGGGCTTTATCAGCCGACGGTCTAGAGATTATATAGACTAGCTAGAGAAAATAATCCGAGTCCACTCGAAACACATAGTGGAATTTTCATTGGTCACACTTTCTTTTTTTTTTTGACCAGCTCATTGGTCACACTTGAGCCATTGAAGTTGGCTGGCGAGTATTCTAGGTTGATATATTCTTACGGGAAAATTGCAAGAACCTGCAACTATCAAAATTAAAGGGGAAAGCTACGGCAGTCAATTATGAAGGACCACAAAGTCGTCTCTAGTGGCACTGTGTTTGTGTTGACTGGGCAATTCGACGTTCCAGTCATGTCAGTCATAAAGCTTTTCTTTTCTTTTCTTTTTTTAACTCTCTTTTTTCTTGGGGGAATAAAAAGACAAGCCTAATCTTGAACAAAGCATCGTAACCATAAGAGTTTGCTTCGTTTACTTGGACCAAGTCAACCCATATGCATGCATGGCTACCATTATAACCAAATCAAGTCAATTTGTTTAGGGTTAATCAATACGGCATATGGATTCCAAAAACAAGCGCTAGCAACTAAAGGATCCAAGTGACCAGACATCCATTGGCCAAGTCAATTTGTTTTCGATCGTTTGTCCCCTTTTGAAGAGAGATGTTGTCTCAATTAGCATTTAAGAATTTGATAGGATATTTGAAAGCTTCAAAACCCCGCAAAGAGGTTCATTGATTTTCTTTGGTCAGCGCAAAGGAAAATATAAGGCCCATTTTAGGTGTTGCCTATTCCATTATTCATGCACAAGAGACTTGATTGTATACTTATAACCCCCCCCCCCAATTCACAACCACCCTCATAAACACAATCAAAGACAGACTCATACTATTCAATGTAGAGCTCATGTTTGGTTTCAGTAAACTTGCCTGAATTTTTAAGCTTCGATCGAGTTCATCTCTATATCGTTCTTTTTCTACGTCTTTTACTAAGTTGTTCATCTTCTGTGTGTGTTGACCATGAGTGATAACTGATGAGTTAGAGCTAACTTCCCTATACATATATTTGCAGATCAAATCAAATGGAGGGACCAAAATTGAATATGCGTTTAGGCCTATGTCTCGTTTTCATCAAACTCCTGTTTCTTGTTGGCAGCACAGTGGGAGATGGTCCGAGGGAATTCACCACAAACGACAAGAATCCTGGTAAATTAGCTAATGCTTTTTACATAGTTTTTAGTGATCAGTGAAGTCATTCACATGCCTTCATAAACTTGATTTTTCATGTAAGTCATAATTAAATTACATCAAGAATCCATATCCCCTCTCTACCCTGACCACCTAATTATGACTTCTTTTTTATCTTAACGGCTGACTAATCATATGATAAGAAATAAATTTAAGGGTAAAGGTGCACCCGATATCCTAAATTATTTTTAAGGGTGTATCCAGCATCCTAAATCATTTATTAGTGAAGTTTTGCCCCCATCTAATAAAAATGGAGTAATTTCATCCCCAGCTCAACAGAACTCTAACTTTGTTTGTTCTTATTACCAGCTAGACATCTTTTTCTTTTTAATGTGACCAACTCAATTATTTTTATATATTTTGGTATCTTTTATATGAGTTTTGTCAGCTTAATTGGTTTCTTTTTGCCTTAATTGCTTTAATTTATTTTATTTTGAATTATTATTTTATAGAGGCAAAATTGTCATATTTTGGTTTAATTGTGAGTAATTGGTTTTTTTAGGACAATTAATGCTACCTTACTTTTGAATTTTGTTTGCAGGTTTTTGGAAGAATTAAAAATAAAAAAAAAGAAGAAAAGAAAAATATAAAAAAATAAAAAAAATATAACAATAATAAAAGGGGAGAGCAAAATGAAACGTTTTGCCCTCCCCCAACCTAATACTCCCTCCGTTCCTTATTATAAGAGACATTTGATGCTTATAGCATGTTCCTATATATAAGAGACACTTAAAAGTTGTCTCTACTTTTTTGTATTGATTTCCTATTTTACCCATATTTATTGTCTCCAATTCACACTCTCTCTCCCTCCCACTTCTCTTTCTTTCAATAATTTAATTGTTCTCTCTCATGCTCTCTCTCCTTATTAATGAGGGCATTTTTGGAAAAAAGATTATATTTTTTACACATTGATTGTTCTTAACTAATTTTAACTGCTTTTTTGATCAACGTAATTCGGTTATTCGTCTCTTATAATAAGGAACGGAGGGAGTAATCTATAATCACTCGCACACACGCGGAGGAGAGGCACGAAAAGAAAGACACGAGCTGAAAGAATTAGAGGGCGGCGGCAGAATAAAAACGAGGCGGAAGACGCAAGCGAATAGAGCACACACACACGACGCCGAACAAGCTGAACGAGAGAGGAGACGCTGGGCGGCTGGAAGAACGAACCCACACGAGAACCAGCGGCACACAGGGACCTGTGAGTGAGACAGAGTGACAGCACCATTCTTCACCTTCGTCTTCTCCTGGGCACGACAGAACGAGCGACGAACAGAGGCAGAAAGCAGGGAACTGGACGGCGTCATCCTTCATCAATTTTTCACCGTGTTCTCCCGGCGTGAACAGTGTTCCTCCATGGAATTTTGCAGCAGAATTTTGATTACAACAATTTTGATGACAAACCGAGGCTAGAGTCTATAATTCTCTAATTCAACAATAATGGCAGGAACTTGGATCATCAAAGGGGAGTTTTAGTTGCTTTAATTTCCTGTCTAATAATTGTTTAACAATTCCTAGGTCTTAGGATAGTTATTCTGATTATTAGAAAATTTTGTATTGTTAAATCTGATTATCTGTGGAGATTTTTGTGGCTGGATTATTGTTTTAGCATTTGACATTGGGTTGTTTATAGCTTTGATTTCAATTATGATGTTGTGGTTATGACATTTGTATTGATTTTGGAGTTAATATATTGTGATTTTCTGGGGTGGCTTGGAATCTTGGATCATATTGTCTCTTGCTAGCTTTAATTCTATTATTTTGGATTTAAGAATTTTAATTAAGCATTGGTTTTAGCATCCTTAATTCTATTTTACTATTCTGGTTGCAGTTAGTAAATTAGGATTTTGGGAAAATATTTTGTGGCAATTCGAGGTGGCTCAGTTGTTGGATTAAAAGCTTAATTATAATTCTTAATTCATTGTATTAACTCCCACATCTTTTAGAGCGATGATTGCCTGCATTGTTGAATTGGAGGATTGATTATCATCATTGTTACTTGTGTGTCTCATTTTCATTTCTTTAATCTTCATTCATTTCAATCATTTTTATATATAAAAAAAATTATTTTAATTTCAATTTGATTCGTAGCATTTAATTAGCAGTTTTTTAAAAATCAAAAATCCCTTTTTATAATTTAGGTTACTTGCATTTATTTACTAGGATTTAATTTCGTTTTTGGCTCCTCAAAGTGAATACGACCCGGATTGTGCACTATATTGCATTAATTCGGTTAATTTTTAAAGTAACCCCAAAGCGACAAATTAAGGGAAGTTAACTTCATAATGATAACACGTAATTTTTTTCTGTTAAAAGTGAGGGCCCACCCAAATATAACTCAGCCAATCCAATCCTGTCAAGCCTCTTGACTCTTCCATCTTCATCCAATTCTTCATTATCACTCACCCTTCTTCTTCTTAGCACCCTGTCTCCTTCACACACAGCTACAACATCCAGCGGCATCTCATCCCATATTTTCATGTCCTCTTCCACATCAGAACTCAACTTTGCAAGCAGATTTGCATATGAAGCTTCAGATCATACCTTCAGTGAGTTTATTTCGATCAGTTAAACATCTGCAAAACAGGTCGATCATGGTCTCTATTCTTCTTCTTTGCCTTCATCGTCGATCCTCTCTCACACTTTCTCTTAGCTTGTTCAAGTAGTTACGACGTCGATCACTCTCTTCCCTTGGAATCGGCGGCCTTTAGACCGACGATGGGTCCTCCACTCGTGAAGGCAAGATGCAACACATAAGAAAATGGGGTGCAGTGAGAGAAGAAATCAAAATATGAAGAAGATAATGCTTAGATCTGAAAAGGGAAGCTCTGTTGAAGCTTCTTTCTCGTTCTATGGCTCCTATCACAGATCTGAAACTGGGAATTTTTTTTATTGCACATTATTGGCATTAACGGACGTTTTCGTGTCTGCTAGTAAAAGGGTGAAATGTTCCATTTTTATTAGTTTTGGAGCAAAATTACACCAATAAATAGTGTAGGGTGCTAGATGCACCTCTAAAAATATAGTTTGAGATGTTGAGTATACCTTTATCCTAAATTTAATTAAAACATTACTTATTATATTTTTATTTTTGGACTATTTTTGCTTAGGATTCATAAGCATCGATTGTGGAGCACCAAATGATTACTTCGACGAGGCAACGGGCATATGGTATCAGACAGATACAAACATTGTAAAAACTGGTACAATTTCTAAGGTTCTCCCCAGTGTAGACGTTGATTATTCTTACTTTGGGGGACTTCTAACCACCTTGAGAAGCTTTCCAGAAGGAAAAAGGAATTGCTACACTCTCAAACCAAAACAAGGCAAGCACCATACTTATCTAATTAGAGCTTATTTTACATATGGGAATTATGACGGCAAAAATCAAACTCCAACCTTCGACTTGTACCTTGGCGTCAATCGTTGGGATACTATTACTGTGCAAAGACTTTATTCTGTTGTTCAGATTATTCATACCCCCACAACAGACACAATTCATGTGTGCCTTGTGAAAACTGTGGTTGGAGTACCTTTCATTTCTGCATTGGAGCTTCGACCTCTTAGTAATTCTGTTTACCAAACTCCATCACCTTCTCAATCTCTTTTAGTCAATCGAGGAAGCTTTGATGTTGCCACCACCAGTTCCGCCACATACAGCAGGTCACTCCTACTTCCCTCTTTTTCTTACTATCTCTTTATTTCTGTACGATATTCGTTGGCTCCAAACTGGGATTTTCTTTTGAAATTATATTTGATAGGTTCTTTCTTTTTATAAACACTAAAGTACATAACTTTATCATTATTGGTCAGATAAGCATTTACGGCATCATATATCAATCAAGTAAGATTAGAAGAAAAACTAATTTGTTTAGGAGGAGACTAAGTTTCTCAATTTGTGATTCGGAGGATCAAGCAATAAATTTTGTTATCATGCATGTACCTAGATTATAATTTATCATAACAAGAGAAATCCTCGAAAAATTCTTGGAATATTAAAGAAGTATTAAAAAATAGCATGCAATCTAATTAAAACTAATGAATACTAAGGTTTGAGCTCTATATGGAAGAAAAAACATTGAAAATTTTTTTTTCACTTCAATTAAGGCGACTTCGAATCTAGATAAGTCATCATTAGTACTTAATTATATATAATCAATATTCTAAATGGTTCGTCAAAAAAAGTTAAATGAATAGTAATATATGTCTCATAAATTTTCATAGGACTGTAATAAAAAAATTCTATGCACAGCTACCGCCAATCTCGTTGTATGGAGAAGCAATAATGACAAGAAATAACTATGTACACACACATATATAAATATTTGAGTGCGTGTGTGTATGTTTGCATGCAAGTGCAGGTACAAGGATGACTTCTATGATCGAATGTGGCGCGAAATCGATTTATCACCGGGTTGGTACCAGATTAATGGGTCTGTAGATATTGGTCCTTCAATCACAAACAATCCTTATAAGTTACCGTCAGAAGTTCTGAAATCTGCAGCCCAATCATTCAATCTCTCCTATGGATTAAACTTCGATTATGATTCTGTATGGAAACACCTCGACAAGTCTTCCAAATATTACGTCTATTTTCACTTTTGTGAAATTCAGCAACTTGCCCCTGGGCAAAAGAGAATACTGAATATCAATGTCACTGTTGGTGATGAATACGTTGTCTCCCAACCTATAATTCTTGAATACTTGAAACCACAAACCATTGCTCCTCTAAATGCAAGTCAAGGTTATGTTCGTTTTAGCATCAACGCAACATCAGAATCCGATGCTCCTCCAATCCTTAACGCTTTTGAGGTTTACGAGTTCATGTCACCTCTATATTCCCCAACAGACCAGAGAGATGGTGCAAATTTGTTCATTCCTCATTAAACTATTTCCAATATAATTTCATGAATTATATTTTTATGTTTGTTTTCATGTTTGGTTTTGTCTTCCTAATAATAGTGGATGCTATCATGGACATTAAAGACACATACAAGATCTCCAATTTAGATTGGCAAGGAGGCCCATGTATTCCAAAACTTGCTTGGGAAGGACTGAGCTGCAGTTCTGGTTTCAATGGCACCAATTCGAGGATCGCCTCAATGTATGTCTTTCGTATATAACAACTAATATCTAGTAATGTCATTGTTTCTATGGGCTTTGTCCTAGTTTTTTATTTGATACTCAAATGTAAAAATCATATGGTTTATTTTTACGTCATCCCAACTCCCAAGAGTATTGACTATTACTGATGCCAAAGTTCATATCACTTGCCTTTATTGATGTCAAAGTTTATGACCAAGTATTGAAAGCATGATTCACTCAACCAGCACTACTAGAAAAAAGACTTTTAACGTCGCAAAATAACGGCGGTTAAGCAGAAAAACGACGTGAAAAAAAAGGCGGTGGCATTTTTGTAAATAAAATGAAGAATGGCTGAAAACCGCCGTGGAAAGTGTGTTCTTCTAACCCCGCGGCGCTTGACTCTCTTCACTTTCTTTCTCATTTCTTCAGTGCGCCGTGGTCCCCCTCTGCCCTACCACCAAAAAACTGCCATTACCGGCCATTCCCGCACTATCCCACCGTTTAAACTCCTCCATTGAGCTTGTGGTGCCTTGCCGCCGTCCGCCGCCGTTCGAACGCCTCTCATTTCGCCTCATTCTTGCTCAGCCACGGTCCCCTCCGTCCCACCACCGAAAACCGGTCATACCCCACACTATCCCACCGTTGAAACTCCTGCATTGAGCTTGTGGTGCGTCGCCGCCGTTCGAAGCCCTCACTTCGCGTTTGAGTCTTCTTTGCTCTCTATGAGTATCCTCTTCTTTCATTCTTTTCAATTTTTCTTGTTTTATTGAATATTTTGGCCATGAAAATCTATTATATATGAAATGGGTTTATTAGTTTTACATTATGATTGGCTTGTGTTGTTTATTTTGCGGTTTTTATGTGGTTGAACTGTGGATTGGTGTTGATTGGTGGGTATTGGATGTCAGAAAACCTTAATTCCTTCTTATATACTGTATTAGAAACACATTTAAATGTTTGGAGTTGACTAGTTGTGAAGTTTTTAAATTTTTTTATAATTTTTTGATATTTATTTCGAATTTTTGGTAATTTTCTTGTAATAAATATAAGAATTTAGTAATAAATAATCTGTTTGTTATTTTGTGTTTTTTTTTCTTCGTTATGAATTTTAATTGATAGTAAAGTGTTTAAATAATCTGTAGAACAATGGATCGTAGTTGGATGAAAGCTAAGAGAATTAGCAAGGAATATGAGGATGGGGTTGAAAAGTTTCTTGAGTTTGCTCAGAGAAATGCCCCTAGTAAAAGAGATGGATTGTACTATTGTCCTTGTGTCAAATGTTTAAACAATAGTCGACGGAGTATTTCTGAGATAAAAGAGCATCTTATCTGTGATGGGATAAATTTGAGGTATACAAATTGGATATGGCATGGAGAAATTAGAAAGACTACACTGTCTGCAAATGAGAAGGTTGTGAATCAAGACTTTGGTGATAGAATTTTGGATATGTTTCGTGATATAAGGTCTGAATCCTCTACACAGTTTTCTTCTACCTTTGAAACTTTGTGTAGTGATGCAGAGACACCTTTATACCCGGGGTGCAAAGATGATTACACAAGATTGACAACCGTATTGAAACTAATGAATTTGAAGGCAAGAAATGGTTGGACCGATGCTAGTTTTACAGAATTGCTTGAATTGCTGAGTGATATTCTTCCCAAAGGGAATTCACTTCCGAAACGAATGTATGAGGCAAAAAAGATTTTGTGTCCGATGGGTTTGAAATATGAGAAGATACATGCGTGTCCTAATAACTGCATATTATTCAGAAATGATTATGAAGGGTTGAATAAGTGCCCTAAATGTGGGACTTCAAGATACAAAATGAAGAAAGATGATGGTGATTATAATGAGATGACCAAAGGTTCTCCTTCAAAGGTTCTGTGGTATCTTCCAATAATACCACGATTTAAGCGTCTATTTGCTAATGCCACAGATGCAAAGAACTTGAGATGGCATTTCGATGAGAAAATATGTGATGGAAAGCTTCGTCACCCAGCAGATTCTCCTTAATGGAAAACAATATATCAAAAATTTCTTCAATTTGATGGCGAGCCAAGAAACCTTCAGCTAGGGCTTTGTACGGATGGAATTAACCCGTATGGTAATCTTAGTAGCACACACAGTGCTTGGCCAGTGCTCCTCGTAATTTACAACTTGCCTCCTTGGTTATGTATGAAAAGAAAGTATATCATGCTATCTTTGATGATCTCGGGGCCAAAACAACTAGGAAACAATATCGATGTGTATTTGGCATCTTTGATTGATGATCTGAAGAAATTATGGGAGGAAGGTGTTGATGTGTTTGATGCATATAAACAAGAGACCTTCAATTTACGTGCCATGATCTTCACCATGATAAATGACTTTCCAGCATATGGAAATTTGTCAGGATACAGTGTTAAGGGGCATAAAGCATACCCGATATGCGAAGAAGGCACCCACTATATGCAACTTAAACATGCATTTTGGTTTCTTAGTCGGTATCACCCTTTACACAAAAACCCAAGACGATAAGAGTATACCTTGGTCACAGAAGGTTTCTTAGTTGGTATCACCCTTTACACAAAAACCCAAGACGATAAGAGTACTATGCAGAATAGTGGGGTGATGGTAGTAGCGAAAGCCATGCATTTTGCTAGTTCTAAAGACAGAAACCCAATGTTGGCGGCAATGTCCTATTATGGAATAATAGAAGAGATATGGGAGGTTAGTTATACCAAGTTTAAAGTTCCCGTCTTCAAATGTAAGTGGGTTAATAGTAATGCTGTGCAAGTGGATGAAGAATTTGGATTTGTTTCGGTCGATCTTGAGAGGTTTGGATATGGAGACGAGCCATTTATTTTGGCAAATCAAGCAAAACAAGTGTTCTTCGTTCCCGATCTAGCAAAAAAGAAATTGTCTATCGTGCTTCAAGGTAAAAGGCAAGGAGTTGGTGGAGATGATGGTGTCTTAGAGCTTAATCTTGATGAAACCCCGCCTTTCACAGCTACTCGACCTAAAGCAGTTGAATTTGATTTGGTAGATGATGACTATGCTGTTAGAGATGATCACTGTGAAGGAATTTGGGAGGATAATCGTTGTAAGCCTCAAATGAATTCTTTGATATTTTTTTTGCTAAATATACTTAATAATATAATGTTTTATATTAACTTGATATTTTTTATTCTTACATTTATTAATTCGTTGTTCTTTAAACAGGAAATGGACGGATCCGGTCAACAGGGTTCTGGTGACGACAACTCTTTTACTAGCCGAAGAAAGGGTAGAGGGCCAACCCATATGAGGCATTTAGCTTTACGTGATGAGAGCACACAGCCTATGAGGATTACAGTGGAGTTTGATGATAATCTGAAGCCTATAGGAAAGGATGGGGCTCAATTTACTAGTTATGTGGGTTATCTAGCACGCAGTAAGATTAGCATTGACATTCCTAGCTAGAAGAAGGTGGACAAAGATTTGAAGAAAAACCTTTGGGAGGATATATTGGTATATTGTGCATTGTTTTCTCTACTTGTTTCAATTATAGTTGCTTATTTACTTTATAACTCTATGCTATTATTGTATTGCAGCTGACATTTGATATTCCTGCCACTAAGCAAATAAGAGACCGTCTGTTAAAGCAAATTGATGAACGGTGGAGGGATTTTAAGTCCACGCTTACAAAAAATTATATTAATGGAAAAAGAAAGGGTGAGCATCCTAAGGAACGATATTCATTTATTAGTGAAGAGGCATGGGAGAATTTTGTGAAGCAATGTGAAGACCCTACATTTCAGGTTTGGTTTCTTCAAACTTAATTTTTAATCAGGTCATATTTTATTTAACTAAACTAATTTTGTCGATTTGGTTTCATTGTCATAGGCATTGAGTCAGAAGAACAAACAAATATTTGAGTAGAATGTATACCCACATACCATGTCTCGTGCAGGGTATGGTGGGTTGGAAAGAAGTATGATGGAGGAACGACTGAAGAATGCACAGATGGCTGCTGCTTCAGATCCTACTAGCTACATGCCACCTATTGAGCGTCCTTCTCGCCAAGAAAAATGGAAGGCGGCGAGGATTAAAAAGGATCAATACATTACTCCACAGTCTGCTGCTGTTGCTGAGAGGATTGTAAGTAACATTTAAGAATTATGCTTCATTAATTGTTTTTTTCAATTATCTTAAATTGAATTTGTTGCTTTAATGATATAGGATACACTTGAGGAGCAATTATCTCAAGGTACATTCATCCCTCAAGGACGGATGGATATCTTGGCCACTGCTATTGGAAAGGCTGACCATCCCGGAAGAGTCCGAGGGACCCCTAAAAGGATTGGTATTAAAGAATTTTTTGGCTCTGCTTCACGAAGAAGCACTAGATCATCCTCTGCTAACATGGTATCTAAAGAGGAGCTCGACCAACGACTACAGGAAGAAACAGAGAGAGTTCGAGCTAAACTAAGTCAACAACACATGGCAGAGATGCAAAAGATACGTGACAAATTCGATGCCAAGTTTCAACAGACTCTGATGATGATGGGTACGAGTGGATTCCATATGCCCCGAGTATCTGAACCTTCCCAGGTAATAATCACACATCTTTTTAAATCTTCTAAAGATTCATTTGATCCATTTAAACTTATTTAATGTTTCTTAACTAATTTCATATTATGTTTCAGGGTTCACCTGTGATAAAAAGCGAGAAGGGCAGTAATAATCAGACATAGCCACTGACAGTGTCTAACCCTGACCCTAGCCCTGACCCTGTCGAAGACAATGGGATGCCATGTTCTCTCTATGTGGATTATGAAAATTCACCTGTTCATGTTGCTAGTGGTCAAGCATTAATGGGCACAACGATTCACGGCAACAAAATTCCGGGCAATCAAGCAAGGGTGACAGTGGAGAGGATTGTTCGTGGTCAGGGGGGTACACCAGTGCCCAATCCTACTGATGAGGTTCGAATCTTGGCCCAAGCTAAAGGACATTTCATTTTGTGGCCAAAGAGACTTATTGCAAAGCCAATGGTGAAGAAGGCAGCAGCAAAGAAGGCTACAACGAGCGCATCATCTGATCCTGTACTCTTGCCTCTTCCTAGTGATGTTGCGCTTATGTATTCCAGTTTGGAGGTTCTTCATTCCATGGTGCCAAACATGGATAAGCTTGTGACTTTCAAGATGCCGTTGGGGGTTGTGGGTTTAAATATAACATACGACTTCACCATTGACAAGAGGGACCTCGTTCAGTTCCTCAACTTTGAGGAGCTTGATATAGCTTTCATGCAGCTCGCTATTTTGTAAGTTACAATATCATTTTCTTATTACATATTATACTTCATGCATGTCCTAATGTTTTTTACTTGAACAACAGGCACTTTAATCAAATTTGTCGAAACAGAGGACTTGAAGGAACATATGGCTTTATGTGTCCTCAAAGGGTGCAGAAAGAATTTAATACTGTGGAAGCAAGGTCAATCTACATTATGACCACAATGACTCAGACCAGAAAGCTAATATATTTTGCACCTTACATGGAAGGGTAAGTGTATTATTGTATTTGAGATATACAAGCTGTATGTGTCGGGTTATAATTAACATGGTTTGCTTTTTGCAGTTATCATTGGACTCTAATTGTTTGTGCCCCTTTTGACAACAAAGTTTACTGGTTCGATTCACTCTGTGGAAGTCCATCCGAAGAAACCAAAGATGTCATCGACACATTAGTTTTTATTTATATATTTATTACTTGTGAAGTTTATACAAGCATGCTCTAATATCATTTTCTCTTATAATGTTGATAGGGCTTTTCATACTTTTAATGTTGTGGCGATTAAACAAAATAGACAAGCACCAACATGGATTCTTCTAAAGGTATATGTTGTTTTGAACTAACTTTTAAACATTTTTGGATGAATTAAAGTTAATGTTTATAATCAATAATGTCTACTATTTAAATTTTATATCTTATTTTTTTAGTACCGTTGTCAACAAGAACATGTTGAGTGTGGATATTATGTCATTCGCTACATGAATGACATAATTGAGACAGGAACGACTGAGAAATTAGACGAGGTAAAGATGAGTTATGTTGCATGACGTTCTTCAATTCATTTCATATTTTTGACTAAGTTTACTATGTTATTTTTGATTAACAGATATTTCAAAATACTACGCCATATCTCATGGATTACATCAACTTGATGAGGGACACTTTGTCAACAACATTGGTAGAAAAAATTGAAATTTAGCTTTCAAATAGATAGGTTATTTCTCAAAAAAATTCATTGTTAGATGTTTTCTTTCAATTCCCTCTTATATGTACATGTTCATAATTTCCATTGTACAGAGAAGTAATTACTTCTATTTCAGAATGGTTGGACCTAGCCAATACGTGTTCCTTGGTCTTAATTAACCACCTAGTTCTATTATATTGGCCGGTTCCCTATTTTCGAGTTGTGTAAAAGAAATTTCAATGCTGTATATATATCAACTAGCTAAATTGATCTTGTTCTGCGTGATCTGCACTGCCTACATTTATTTGGAACTGTAAACTGCAGGGTGGTAAAAATGAAAATCAAGCAGAATTTTAAAAAAAAAATTTTATTTTTAATGGCGGTTATATATATAACCGCCATTCAAAGCATATTCCACGGTGGTTTTGAACCGTCGTGTTTTCTTTACCTTTCAACGTCGCCTTCAAAACCGCCGTGAAAAGCCTTTTTTCTGGTAGTGTACGAACCTAAGTGCGACCAAATTGACAAGGCAAATAACAAGCTCATTTTCACAACCTACAAAGTTAGAGTCCTTGTAAGTCTGTCTATAGAATGATTTATTAAGTATCAATTATTAGTCGGAAAGTTTCATTAACATGCAGAACATGCTGCTTTGTTCTAGAGATTTGTCATTTAATGACTTGTCGGGATCAGTACCTGAATTTTTAGCTGAACTACTAAAATTGAGAGTACTGTAAGTTTTGAATTATATTGTTTATGATTTATGTTTAATAACTTCTAGCTCACCTAATAAGTGAATATATATATATATATATATATATATTTCACAATGCTTTTGCAGTAACTTGACTGGCAACAAGCTTACAGGTTCCATTCCCAAGGCTCTCAAGGAAAAGGCAGATTTGATATTGAGGTTTTTCATCTTTTTATTAATGTGTCTTGTTCAATTATAACTACCTTTATGTGACTCAAAAGTAACAATGATATAACTTGTTCCATAGTTTGGAGGATAATCCAGGCCTTTGTCCGGAGGATTCGTGCAAGAAGCAGAAGTTTGTCATTTCACTTGATGCTTCTGTTTCTGCTTTAGTTGCAAGCCTCTTGATTTGTTTAGGAATATGGATCTTCAAAACCAAAAGTTTAAAAGGTAGGCCCTCAATGATCAGTTGGAGGAGCAGGTCAGCTACAAAATCTAGTGCCAAAAATATTTTGTTAGCGAGTTAGTGAAATACCTTCTCCAAAAGGTTCTTAGCCTTCAGATTTCAGTTGGGTCTGCAGATAGTCTACATTCCACTAAAACAAACAGCAACTGCAAGGGAGGAATCAAACTTAGCCCCTTACCAAACCCATTTAACGCACATAGCAAAAGAAAGACGAAGGAAATAGAAGTTTTGAGAAACAGCGCCCACACAGACACGAAAAGGAAGGAGAAAATTCAAACTACCACACTCCCTCAATTATAGCGTCCAGTGTTTTAGACAGAAACAAACTTGAGGGACCAGAAACTATAGTTTGAAACTTAAGAAACTAAAACCAAAATGAAGATAAATTTGAGGAACAAAAAATTATATCAACCCATTTGTTTTATTTTAAGTTAGAGAGAAAGGAATTAGATATGATAATTTTATAACGATAAATCAAAACAAAATACACTTTCATTATTCAAATTTCAAACTCAAGACCCAACAACAAGCAACAACCATACTATGCCACCAATGCAATGTATATAAATTTTTACGAAAAATGATTAAAATATTAGTAAAAAATAAAAAATAAAATAATGAGTTTATATTATTTTTAGGGACATTACACAAACCATTATTAATATCAAAACTTATGGAACTAATAGTCAGTGAGTACTGATAAATAAGACCGGTTTGTTTTGTATCCTACTCTTTTGATTTCTTACTTCGTGCTTGGTGATGAGTAGGGCCAAAAAGATTGAAACAGAAGAAGCTATTACATGAACTTGGAGATATTGCGATCCCATTCAGTGTAAGCGGCAAACAGAAGTTTGGTAAAAGCGATAAAACAGGCCATGAAATACATATATTCGATTTCAAAAGCATTCTCTTAGCATCAGAAAACTTCTCATCCACAAATAAGTTAGGTGAAGGTGGCTTTGGACCTGTGTATAAGGTAATAGCTAAACATTTTTCACTGTAGTGTTACCTTGGTAATGCCTAATAATGATGAAACTGAAAGGGGAAAAAATGAGGATGATTAATTGACATGAGTGTTTTTATTTTCAGGGAAGATTACTGGATGGCCGAGAGATAGCGATCAAAAGACTTTCTAAATGTTCAAAACAAGGCCTAACTGAATTCAAGAATGAGGTTAAATTGATTGCCAGACTGCAGCATACTAACTTGGTAAGACTTTATGGCTTCTGTATCGAAGGGGAAGAAAAGATGTTGATTTATGAATATTTGCCCAATAAGAGTTTGGACTTCTACCTTTTTGGTAAGCGAATTTTTACCTTTAAATTATAATAATGCTTTACTATCAAGTGGATATGTCATAACATGTTCCTCAGAATTTCTTTGATATAGATCACAATAATAGGATTTTATTGGATTGGAAAAGACGGCTCAATATTATTCAAGGCATAGCTCAGGGACTTGTCTATTTACACAAATATTCAAGATTGAAAGTGATTCATCGAGATTTGAAACCAAGTAATATTTTACTTGATCATGAGATGTGTCCAAAAATATCTGATTTTGGCATGGCAAGAATATTTGAGTTAAAAGAATTTGAACAAGAGAATACGAATCGAGTGGTTGGAACATAGTAAGTAAAATTCTCTTACCAATCCAATTTTTTGATATCACTTAATTGATTGATGAAATGCTAATTACTTTTCTTCCTTTATACCAATTATTATCTTAGTGGGTACATGTCCCCAGAATACGCTCTTAGCAGGATTGTCTCTGTAAAAACTGATATTTTCAGCTTTGGAGTATTGCTACTAGAGATTGTCAGTGGCAAGAAAAATGTCAGTTTTGTTAAATCTGAACATTCAATCAACCTCATAGGACATGTAAGTGTATATAACATTCTTCCATCCAATATGCGTCTCCACATGTTGATTAATATACACTGAATCTGAACTTGTTTTAGGCATGGAAGTTGTGGAATGAAGAAAAAGCCTTAGAGCTAGCAGATCCCTCACTAAGTGGAACATGGAATGCAGATGAATTATTACGATGCATTCATATTGGTCTCTTATGTGTGCAAGATCAAGCCAATGATCGACCTGATATGTTAGATGTGGTTTCTTATCTCTCTAATGAAGCCATTTTATTAGCTGAACCTAAGCAACCAGCATTCTACATTAATGCAAGGGAGAACAATGCCACATCACCTGCTAATAATATAGCAGAAAATTGTACATGTTCTACCTGTAATGTAACAATTTCAGATTTCAAAGGTAGATAAATTATGTGAATCTTCCCAAACTGTTAACTATTACACATGTTAATTCGGAAAATACATTGTCAATTTCCTAATATAATTTTCATGTCTGGTGATGTTCTCGTAAGTAATATCCACATTATATGAATCTTACATGAATGGTGGGTGGTGTAACTTAATTTTATCACTTTGATGGGATAGTTAATTAAATTAACTTCTTAACTATATATTTTTCGGAAGAGATTCGGGGCAGTGATTAGAATATCACCGTTCACCAAAAAAAAAAAAAACTGAAAAAGAATATCACCAGGGCAAAACGCAAGATGCGTGTATAGATAAATGAACTTAAATTAGTACTACTTCCTGTCCTTAATATAAAGGTTAATTAATTAATTTGAGTAAATTAAGAAAACTAATTGAGTTAGTTACTTGTAAGAAATGGGTGTTGTCTTTCCTAAAATATTTTTGCTAATCAAGTGTATTGGCTAGAACCATCATTATTATAAGGACTACATTAGGAAAAAATAGATATATATGAGGGACAAAGTGAATTGAGGTCTTATATTTAGGATTAAAATAAAAGCCAAACAAGCTTTTATATTAACGACTGGAGGTAGTATATGACAAACAATACAAAGGTTGTCAAACCTCACTTTCGTGCAAGGTATTTATGAGAAGTTGGAGAGGAAGAAGGTGCACTTGCGAGTCGGATCCTCACTAATATTTTTATGAGAAGTTTGAAATGATCAAACTTTCCAGCCGGTCAACCCAGCAAAGCATCAATAACCAATAGTGCAAAGGCAAGTAACATCCGTCGACGTTGCCTGTAGAGAAAAAAATGGGTGGCGTAGGGGATTAAGGAAGTTGAGGATGAGAGTTTAAAAATGCAAACACACATGTCAACTTGTGTTTGAAATCAAAGAAAGCAACCATTTTTTTACCATTGGTTTTCTTCTAATATGAGCTCATCAATAACAGAAAAAAAGTGACGAAAACACAAGGTGGAGGAGAGGGCATTTTCTTTGCGATGGCAATCAACACAGTTTTTTTTAACCATATTTGCAAAAATTCATAACTCATTTTCTCTTGAAATATCTAATAATGAATTAGGACGGTATGAAAAGCTTAAAATATCTAATTTTCAAGGTTAAATTAATACAAAACGAATTACTCAAAATATTATTATTTGTTCCTTGCAAATTAATCGTTTATTCACCTATGAAAATTAATAGTTTCTAAGACAGCTCAGAAAAGCCTAACCGAGTATTTCCTAACCCATTTACTCTTTAAATGTACTTAGTTAATCATGCGGGTTGTTGGAAAAAAAAAAAAAAAAGAGTACTAATTGTTGCTAGGGGTAATCAATACGGATGGATCTTAATACAGGGGCGAGTAATAATGGAAGGATTCAAGTGATCAAAACTCCATTAGCCAAGTCAATTTGTTTCGTTTGTCCCCTCTCTTTGAAGAGAGATGCTGCATTTAATAACTTGACAGGAAACTTCAAAACACCCAAAAAATTAGGTTGTGAAGGAGAAGGAAAATATATATACGAGGCCCATTTCAGGTTGACTTAGCTGACCACACTCATATACACCCACATCTACTCGCTCAAACACAAACATTTGAAGGCAGACTAATACTATTCAAGCTGCGTGCTGCTCATCTTGGTTTTAGTTAACTTGTTTGACATTTTAAGCTTCTAGCGAGTTCATCTCTATATTATATTGTTTTTTTTTCCCTAGGTATTTTACTTAGTTATTTATCTTCCATATGTTGATGATGAGTAAAAACTGATGTGTAAGAGCTAACTTCCTCATATATATTTGCAGATATCAGATCAAATGGAAAGGTCACCAGGGTTGAATCTGTATTTAGGCACGTGCCTCGTTTTTCATCAAACTGCTCTTTCATGTTGGCAGCACAGTGGAAGATGGGAGGAAACTCATCACGGACGACGAGAATCTGGTAAATTAGCTGACGTTCTTCACATATTTGCTAACTTCAGTGAAGCTATTAACACGCATTCATCCAGCCTGATTTCTCATATGAGTTATAAATTACATCAGGAATCCATGTCCCTACTCTAGCCCAATGTTAAAACTGTCACGCCCCGAAAATTAAGCGGTGACCGGCACGGAATATGAGAATTCATGTTCCTAAAGCCTTTAAGACATACAAACAAATGCTTGTCATAAAAGTTACAAAAATCTTAAGAGCTCATCCATTATTTCTAGTTCACACACACATATATATATTTCTTATTGTCAAAATAGTAAGTTTTTTTTTTTGTTTTTAACTGTAAACTTAGATTTAATCATTTAAAGATATTAGGAAACGTATCTATAAGCTTTGATTAACAGTGAGTGTCTTTGTTGTTCAATTGGAGGTACAAGGACTAAATAGTTCCCATTAATAAAAATAAGGTAAAGGAAGTTCTACAAGAATAAATTATGCAATATAATCATGTAAAATAAATAATTTACCATTGCTTTTAAATTCTTAATAAGCCATGAAAACGTAAAAGAAAATATATAAAGAGGTTTTGATATAAAAAAAACTTTATTTATAAATTCAAATCATGAAATTGTGTCAAAAACTCTTGTCAACTGAGGACTTCAACAGAACGAGTAATAAGCGTGGACACACAGTCCACGAGGGTAAGTAACCAACAGACGTGGCTGAAGCCACGAATTCAAGCGTGAGAATGAGGCCCACGAATATCAAGCGAGCTAGATGTTAACCATGGTGTACCATCACAAGTAAGACCGAAGCCACGAATACAAGCGCAGCCGGAGCCACGAATGACAAGTGTAGCCGGAGCCATAAATTACAAGCATAGCTGGAGCCACGAATTACAAGCATGAGAACAATGCCCATGAATAACAACAAGGCTGAAGCCACGAATAACAAGCGAGCTCGATATTAACCATAGTGCACCAAGAGCTAACAGTACTATTGTTAGCAACCAGCGTTTTGTGTTTAGTCCTTAGGGAAAAAAAACATTTTTCAAGCATGCATGGGATCAATATACCATTAAACAAAAGATATTTGTACCCATAATGAAATCTTATAAAGAAAGAATATTTTATAATAAATGATCCCAGCATGAAAGTTTTCAAATAATATTTTCAAAACTTTCTTTCAAATTCTGATAGTCACTGAAGAAGGATTCTTCTCAAACTAAGTTCATATAAGGACATTTTTAAAATATATAAATCATTATTCAAAATCATTATTTCGTCTGGGCATTCAAATATCAATAAACAAATATTATAGTTCCAACAAATCGGTTTTCAATCAAATAATATTTAAAACAAAAACATTGATAATACAAACAAATATGACATTGAAAAACATATCATTTGTAAAAATTATCATGAAGCGCTATTCACTAAACAACTACTTATCTCAATCATACTACTTACTTTCATTTATACAATTCTGTAATGTGCTTACTCCTAAATCTCCTGGTGTCACAGAACAAAAAGAATTTTTCATAACATTTATTCAATGAAATTTTAGTTAATTATTCTTCTTTAGTAAGTCTCAATAAATAAAAATATGAGCTTATGTATATAAATATTTCACTCAATGCCAGCGTTCAAGGGATTTTATTTAAATTTCTGTAGAGTTTCATATATGGATATTATATCAACCTTTCAAAAACATTTTCTAATTCAGCTCAATAATACTACACAATAATCCAACTCCTTTGTTACACCATTCCATAAATCAATTTGTAAATATCCATTAATCTTAGTTTAATTAAATTCTTCTACAAGATTGCACAGCTATTCCTAGCATATCTTAGCTCAACCCACATAATAAATATCAGGCTATAAAAATCAACAACCATATAGCTCTTGAGCATCCAAATAACTAGTTACAACATTCTCATTATCGTGTTCTACTACTAGCCAAGCAACTACAAACACCCTAAATACAACACGAAGCTACATAAGTTAATTTATCAACATTATTAACACAAGAAGTAATTAGATTCCATAGTTCTACTTTTGCAATCATCACAATATTAATATAAACATATCCAAATACTTCATTCCCTCATGTCTAAACCAAACAAAATCTCCAAGTCTCATTCTTCATTCACACAGTTCGTCAAACACCTTATAGGCATTCAACATAACTCAACAACCAAACCTCTTAATCCACAAGTTGGCAACAGTGAAACATTGCTAATTGCTAATTAACACGCACATATGTTTGAGCATCCACATTCAAATAAACTCATCAAATCCATTAAACCAAAATTCATCAAAGTTCAACGTAATACCCACCCCCGGCCAAACCACACATCAACGCCAAACTGAAGATATATATATATATATATATATAATCTCAATACAATTCCACACACTCCCATTCATCAGAGTAAAAGATTAAATACAACGGAAGTAAATTATCTCCAATCCACTCCCCACAACAACAGTAGTGAAAACAGGGGAGAGAAGAACAGGGAAAACTACTCTCAAATACACTGCTGCTCAGGGGAAAAAAAAGGATTTGAACTTACCTAAATCCCTAATAGTAGCGACTAAGTTGGAAGAGGAAAACGGGAATGAAGCTCAATCCTTTCTAAGCTACCAAGGCACCGATTAGAGCAAAGAAGAAAATAGAATGACAAAGCCTTGAAGGAAGCAACGCAGAGCTCAGCATCACTAGCACACCCACAGCACACACGCCGCCGACGAACACACGGATAGGGGAGGACAGTGGAAGGAGTGACAATAAATAATAAAAGAATTAATTAACTTATAGTTACATTATCAAGATTATTACAATTATTATTTTTCTTATCTCTTTTTTTTTTAAGTTTTTTTTTTCTTTGTTTGAAGATGGGCTCACTTTCAACTATACCCATTGTTATAAAATTTAAATCATACCTTTTTTTTTAAAATTTACTTGATCAATTAATGAGTACCGAAGATCTTAAGAATTTTCAAATTTCTGGGTCATTACAAAAATGCTAAGTATGACTTATTTTATTTATCCAAATGACTGAATGCAACACCTAACTTTCTGTATACCAGTAGGGTCCACTTAACATCTGTGGATCACTAGACAC